TAGACAAGCGGAAAAAGGACTGAAAAAGTATTGGAATTCATTCAAGACCGTGGTGACTGACCCGTCCAAGAAAGTGCATTGGGTTTTTTTACTAATTTTTATCAACATTTTAACCGTTTTTCTTTTAGTTAGCCAGTAAAAAAGGTTTATCCACCATGGGCATTGGCCTTGTGATTTCTTATTTGTACGTCACCCATGAAAGTCCCGGAGCCCAGGACAGAAACATGGCGGATGTTTTCAAGAAGGGAAAAATCGATCAGGGGGTTAGTCCACCTATTTCTAAAAAACTGGTCAAACGCGAGAATCTTGAAAATGTAGTGAAGAATATTTTGCAATTCTCTTTACAAAATTACTTTCTTATTTCGGGCGAACATGGGACGGGAAAAACAACCTTGGTTCAAAATGCCATCTTGAGTCTCCAAGAGCCAAAGGTAAATTATTCAATGTTCTCTTTCCTTTTCGATTTATTCACATTCGATTTCTTCTTAATAGGGTGTTATCCATTTTGAGTGTCCTTCAGATGCGAAAGAATTTGCAAAGAATTTGTCAAAACATCTTGATTATGAATTATATCCATTCAAACTTCGAGATATTATCATCATGCAGTTGACAACTAATGCAATAAGGAAAGGTACCGTGTGATTCTTTTTGTGCTTCGTAACAATTTTCTTCACATCTATGCTCACAAAGGCTCCACCTGGCATGTAGAACAAGACGGTCGTTCAGAATACTCTAATTGAAACCTCTTAAGCATGCAACTTCTCCGCACAGCAGATTACTATATGAAAAAATACAAGCGCCCAATAGTTTTGGTTCTTGATCAAGTAGATCGCATTGCTAAAAAGGACCCAGAGTTTCTTGGGATGCTCCAAGATTTTGCGAAGAGCGGTGCGGACAGAGACACCCTTGTCATTGTATTTATTGCGAGTGAAGGCTCAGTTCCGCAAATTATGAAATGTATGGGTGTTATTATTTTTAATATTCTGATATACATGGTTAAGTTCTTACTAAATATCATTCCTATTCTTTACAGCTCGCTCTGCCTGGTCGCGAGCAAGCGCCACCTTTGAAGTTGGTGATATCTCAGATGAAGAAGCTGTGAAATTTCTGCAAGATTCTGGTATTGATAAAAAAAAGCTGAAGACACAGTGAAATATCTAACGGGTGGACGATTTGCTTTATTGAAGAATGTCCAAGAATTAAATCGAGTCGATCCTAAAAATTTAGTTGAAAGTATGTAATTTGTTGCAATTTTTGTTCCTTAACGTAAAGAACTCGTTTTCGTCTGACTCCTACTTTTATCAGAATTCAAGGAGCAAACGTTCACGCAGATCAAGAGAGATTTGGACACAGTGGATCTTCCTGAAAACCATGAATTTTTCATAAAGCTCATTGAAGTAGATCGTATTGCCATCAAGAAAGCTAAAACCATTATACCTCTCGACACGATTCATAAACTTGTCGAGGCTAATATTCTCAAAGAACATCAGGACTACACTGTGTCCTTTCATTCACGTTATATCGATACCTATTTTAAAGAGGTAATTCTTGCTGATGATGTT